TGAGGCAGTCGACGACAGTCTTGGACCGGATCAAGATGTCCACGCCATTTATGAAAAAAAAAAAAAAGCCTTGGAAACATGCAGCCGCGCTGCCGACTAGGATAAAGTCGGCTGGAAAATACTTCTCTAGCGCGCGGACGCATTCTAGGATGTTGTCAAATTTGTCTGAGTCGGTCATATTGTCGGTACTATGCCAAGCCAAAGCTGGTTAGCGGAAATTTAACGAACGGAACTATACACGGCCAGATACCAAGAATTATAGATTCGTAGGCTCATTTAGACTAGGAAAAAATGAAGATTGATAGAGTGAAAGGAGGTTCGAAGGTGCAGTACAAAGATGGGCTGTGGGGTCCTTATCTACTTGGAGAGAGTATGGATGAATAGTTACCAGAAACAGAACAAGAGCAATCAGCCCGCCCAGGCCACAGAGGCCATCGATTAGTTGGCCTTCCTAGCACTTTGTGCGTTGCTGGCATTAGCATTGGCATTGGCAACAGGGCGAGGTGGTGTTTGACGACACTCTCAAGGGCCTTTTCGATATAGGCCTTTATATACCGGAGTACCCCGGTCACAACATTTGAAACAATATGACCAAAACGAGGCCAGCGAGGCCCTATGCCCCGCCGATGTGAGGGCTTCTGCAGGAGTGACGACTTTCTAGGGGCTCAGGGGCTTTAGTAGGGCAGATATAGAATGCGGTATTCGAGGCTATTTTAGATAGAGAGATTATATGACTTATAGAGATGTACTCTACGGGGAGGAGCTGGTCTACTTATATGGAGGTAGCTGCACCCTAGGAAGGTACATAGGAAGGTACATAGGAAGGTACTCAGGAAGGTAGGCCCATTTCTTTAGATCGGCAACCTCCCTTAAATTCAAAGTGAGTCGGGGCAGCCGATTGAGAGCGGCTGGCATATATATGTACATATGTAGTAAAAACCGGGGAAGGCACCCGCCCAGATGGGTTTAGTGTCAGCTTAGTATCTATTCCATATCCCACTACGCGATGCCGATTTCCAACGCTGCTATTTTACCTAGACGCCTCTTCTAATTCAATCCTTCCTAGCTTTAATATTGCTATTATCTCGTGCTAACCCTCCACGTCTAGCTCTGATCAATACCATCGTCGAATCTACATTGAAACCTGGCCACAACACGTGGATCCACGGTAACTCGAGATGCAGTATCACTATTAAGCCGGCTGGCTCTCTTCACTTTCCCCGGACACTCTTCTTAAGCTGCCGCCGGGTAATAGGTTCTTTGTTGACTTATATGGCAAGCCACTCCCACCGACAACCCGGCGAAGAGTCTGTTTGAACCGGCAGCGAATTCAACTGGGCCTACTAACTGTGGAAGACGCATGGGGGTCAATGCCGATAAAGCTTATCAAGACCTTGGAGAAGATTGAGGCAAAGAGGATGGGGCGCAAGGCTATACGATCCAATGCTGAATAGATTTCGGAATTTTAAAGGACCACCAACACCGGGTGGGCTTGGCACGATTACATACTTGAATCAGAACAAAAGCAAGCTGTTGGCTGATATTGCATCCTATTTCAGCTGTTTGCTTTTCTTTTATAGGTGCGACATTAACGGAATGCAAACACATGTACTATCGCATCTGCGCCGAGAAAACCCGCGAAACAATATATTGAAGTAGAGTAACCCTAATTCTAGTCATTAGGATATTTTATACCTTTTATACTCCGATTACATCACAACCGTGATACCTGCAGTGCTCCCCATGTAGGGCTCTGGTATCTTGCCCCTGCTACAGAACCCCTCGGTAGTCCGACACCAACCGCCCAATATCCGTAAAAACCCCGAAGATCGGCACGATGGCCGATTCTCGTCATATCAGCTCTTCTATAGAAGTGATTATTATAATGGCTGTATGTAGAGATATCCTCGGCATCCAATTCAACGACCGAAGCAGGATGATACTCGTGGTCCCTGAGGGGTGTGTCTGGGCCAGAGCTGTATGTCCCATACAAGATGTCATCCGGGGCAAAGGAAAAGACCGCAAACCCGAGAATATTATTGGCGCAAGGAATGAACCCCCATCGAGGCATTTGATCTGATTGGCTTATTCTTTACATTCGGCGGCTGACCGAGTGGTCTCGGAGATCTGATTTGTCTCCGTCGGTATTTGAAGGGCTAAAATTACGTCAAGTCACGTTCGAAAAGCCGAGAAAAGGCCCAAAAAAAAAATACATGTCTTTTTGAATCACTCTCCCCGCCTTTCTTTTTCCGTGTATATTTAGGGGCCTTGTTTCCCAGCAAGATGGCAGACAGCGGCAAGATGTTGGAGGTTGCTGCTCACTCCCGGGTCGTGCCCGTTCAGACTCCCGCGCAGTCAAAGCCGAAGCAGCTGCATTACCCGTTTTGGTTTGGGGGTTCGGCCTCATGCTTTGCTGCGTCCGTGACGCACCCGTTAGATTTAGGTATGCTCTTACCCCCTCAATTACGTACTGTACGCTGACTTGACCACAGTTAAGGTAATTGGGAAGCCCCAAGCCGTCCAAGACAATGGCCCATGCCCATACCCACGATCCCGAGCCCCGACGCTGATATCTGTTTGTCGCATAATAGGTCCGGTTACAGACTCGCGCGCCCGATGCGCCGAAGACTATGGTCGGGACGTTTGTACACATCCTGAAGAACAATGGCTTCACAGGGTTATATAGTGGTGTATGTGCGATCCCAAAATCCGGTTGACAGCGAATCTACACGGCTATTAGTACACGGGCAGAGTGAGCTAACGAAGGGATGAATTGGATATGGTGTAGTTGTCAGCCGCGATGCTACGTCAAATCACATACTCCACAACGCGTTTCGGTATCTACGAAGAATTGAAGTCGCGCGTTGCTTCCACCTCAGACCTCGCCGGCGCACCAAGCCTGGTTACCCTCATTGGCATGGCCTCCGCCTCAGGATTCATCGGCGGCATAGCAGGCAACCCAGCTGATGTGATGAACGTCCGCATGCAACACGATGCATCCCTCCCTCCCGCCCAGCGACGCAACTACCGAAACGCAATCCAGGGAATCATCCAAATGACCAGGACAGAGGGATTCAGTTCTCTCTTCCGCGGAGTGTGGCCTAACTCCACCCGCGCAATCCTCATGACTGCCTCGCAGCTCGCTTCTTACGATACATTCAAGCGCATGTGTATTGAGAAGGTCGGCATGGCGGATAATCTGGGCACACACTTCACAGCCTCGTTCATGGCTGGGTTCGTTGCTACGACTGTCTGCAGCCCCGTGGACGTGATCAAGACTCGCATTATGACGGCTTCTCATGCAGAGGGCGGTGGTCAGACCATTGTTGGTCTTCTGCGTGATATCTGCCGCAAGGAAGGCCTGGGATGGACTTTCCGTGGCTGGGTGCCAAGCTTCATCCGTCTTGGTCCCCATACCATTGCTACTTTTCTCTTCCTCGAGGAGCACAAGAAGCTCTACCGCAAGCTGAAAGGCATTTGAAGGTCCAAAGAGTGATTTATTCCTTTTGGTGACTCTATTTTCCCCCGCCGATTCTTCCCAATCTTACAACAACATTTACGCCTTCTATCTGACATATCCTCGGTATATACGATTTCTTGTCATTTCCTCTGGTTTTCTACTTGGTGGTGCACACTGAGACTCACGCACACCAATTTCACTTTGGCTTGTATATAGCTTACATTCTTTCGGATGTCTTTTCGTCGGAAGTTCGAAAGATGGCCGTCTCCGCCCTCGGAGCATATCTAGATCATGGCCCTGTGGCCTTGCACAGTGTGCTGGATGATACTTTTTTTTTTTTGTTGGAGGTGGGATTACATAGAATTAGATTTATACACACTGAATCGCATACAGAGCATTTCCGCAAGGACAGCATGGTTTCTGCTCGATATTCTAAGTTGTCTTTCCAGGTTCGCAATTATTGCAAACGTCTACTGATGAAGCATGTAGGGACTGCCCATACGTCAAAAGAGTCAGAGCAAGCACCAGATTACAAAACATTTCCCTTTATAATACGAGTTTATCAACACCCTTTCTCGCCTTATAAGGACGGAATGACCTAGGAAAATGTAGGGGTTGTCTCCCCGCGTGACCCAGTAGAGTACATTGGAACTTGTCGATACATAAAAAATTTGACACGGCTCACTTGACCAACCAAAAACAGCTGTTGATTATCTACTTGTCAAGGTGGACAGGGAAGTTGCCAGCCTCTGTTAACACAAGTTAGTATAAATGAACACATGTCCAGAGACTTCTAGGTGCGTACCGCGCTGACCGTCCCAACGATCGGTCCAGGCCTTGGGGCAAAGAGAGCGGAAGGCGTGGTAGAACTGTCAGAGACGCTGTTAGAAGCTGCTGGGATTTGACGATATTGTCGGTGCCGAAATTACCTGCTTGCAGGGGCGGAAGTCCTCGCCCTTAGCAGTAGTACACTTGTAGTAGTCGACATAGTTCTGCCAGCAGTGCTTGGTCCTGCGGAGCGAATCGACGTTAGATATATAAGAAAGGCACCCGAATAATAGCTTGTACATACTGGTTCTGCTGGGGGAAACGGGCATCGTAGCCTGCGATCCAATCGAAAATTGTCAATTACACCATACATCAGCCGATCGGGGGATATCGGTCCACACGCATGCGACGAGTGAAAGAAGCGGGAAGATATCAAGTTTTACGCACCAGCTGCAATTAAATTAGCCATTGACTCTCCACAGGGCTTCTGGCCCCGGTTTTCTTGGGAGGGGGTAGTGGACTTACCAGTCACGAACTTGAAGGGCTTGGTCTCGAGGACCTCATCGGGGTCGGCTTCCGGAATAGCACCCATATTTGCGATGTGTAGCTTCAACAGAAACAACACAGAGGAAGAATTGGAGTGGAGTGGAAAGAGAGGAGGGGAGAAAGTGAGCCGGGAGGAACGACGTTGGGTGATTGAAGCTGTGAAGTGCCGGATATGACCGCGGGCGGTCAAGCGAGAGCCACTGAGCGTCTCGCTTTTACACCCGAGCCAGTCACGTTCTCGGAAAGCTGGTGTTCCAACCTCGTCCTCTATCCCACTCTTCTTTTGCTCCTCCAGGGTTGAACCACAGATCTCGCCATGTATCCCACTCGCATGCTGCGGATGCAGCCCACTCGGGCCTTTGCTTTCCCTACTCCTGTATGTTCTTCCCTTCAGTAATGATCCTGTGATCATACGATCCCTCGGTTACTAACCCATGTCTGTAGAAGGAGCAACAAAGTGGTACGCATCTCTGAGATCATTAGATCTAGTGATCAACAGAGTCATATAGAATGGCTTTACATTTATGGAGACAGCCATTGAACTAACCATGCGCCTACAGCTCACACTATCTCCCAGCGTCTGCGCCAGCTCAAGCGTGTGCCCCCGGAGTTGCTCCCTATCGGTATGTGCTATAGTCATGACTTCGCGATCGGAAATTGAGCTAACGGCGGTCTCTTTGATATTTAGGCTTCGTCCTTGCGTACGTTTCTCCCTGTTTGATACTATCTGCCCCTTGATTCCGGGAACACATGCCGGAATTTTATCCCTCTATACCCTCCACTGGCGATCAAGCTCATGTCTTTCTCCGATGCTAACTCATGATTTCAGTGTTGCCATTGGCGCTGCTGTCTACTCCTGCAGCAAGAAGCTGATGACCGACAAGACCCTGCGTCTCTACCGCAACAGCCCCGAGAGCCGTGAGCACTAAATGTACCACTATGTTTCTTTGAGCTCTCAGAATGCGACCCAGTTTTTGGATTCTTGCCACCTGTATTGTTGATTAGGAGAATTTGAAGCCGATGGGCATGATTTGAGAAAAGACAGTGGAAAGAAAAGGAACGGGCTCGAGATTGGAGCCCGTGTATATATTCCGGCTTCCCGAGCCTGAACTGTGGTGTAATTGGCAAATTGTACAGCAAATTGTACTGTCGTGTGGGACTTGTGCTTTTTTGTTCTGTCATTTTCGTCGTAGCTATCGTAAGGTGTAGCGAGCTTCACTCGGGCTTCGGCCCAGCAACATCTAATTGTTCCAATCCTTGCATAGGATCTCGGGGACGACGGCTTGCAGCCAGAGCTTCCTCCGCAGCTTCCCGATCCTCCTCGCTGACAGCGTGCTTGGCCAAATACCCCTCCTATAGAATATATCGGTTAGTATAGATTCCAAGTAGATATAAAATCGAATCCAACACACCTGTTCCCAGATCGCAGTCTTGCTGCCTAGTCCCTCGTTGGCATCCTTCTGTGGCTTTGCAGCAGCAACTTTGATGGTGCGCCCATAGATCTCGCTACCATCCATATTGTCGATTGCCTCTTTTGCGTCTTGTGGCAGATCAAATTCCACATATCCAAATCCGCGGTGAACTTCGGCCGAGTTGGGTTGATCCGGCTTGGGCAGCGAGATATCAACGACTTCGCCAAACGGGACGAAAGCTTCCGCAAGTGTGTGTGCGGTCACTCCCTGGTCAAGACCTCCCACGTAGACGGTGCTCTTAAGCCGCGTGGTTTCGCTCATGATGTGTAGTTGCCCTTCGGGTCAAATTGATAGGTGTCTGAGTTGCGTGGCGATATCTCGAGATCGCATAGAATAGTAGGAGACAACAGTGAGTGCAACGGCAAAGAAAGCTTTTCTGTTCGAGAATCTGAATCCAAGCTCTATCTGGCTATCAGCCCAGAACGGAAGACTGATATCACGTGCAGCTCACCTCGGAGGGTGTTTTGGCGAGTCTCAAAGCGGTCTAGCGCGTGTTCCCCGGTCCCTCCAAGTCCAGGAGGCCACTTGGTTACTGCTATACTTGGAACATCTAGAGTATCACCCCATTGTCAATTATTCATAGGGGGTGGTTCTTGATCCCTCTCATTCCTAATATCTGAGTTCCATTGTTTCTTGGGGATACCTTTCACATACTCTATTGGTCTCGATCCTCACCGAAACATACCTCCCCTGCCATCATCATGGTGCGTCTGAGGGAAATCCCAAGGACGGCCACCTTTGCCTGGTCGCCTGGGGCTGCGTCGCCATTGATCGCAACTGGAACTCGCGCTGGCGCTGTTGACGTCGACTTCTCCAACAAGACATGCCTCGAGCTGTGGGATCTGGGCCTTGACCGCGAAGATGCGAGCGAGGAGCTGCATCCGCTCGCTAAGTTCGATACGGACTCCGGGTAAGTGTGTCTTTGAGAAATTGAATGGGAATGAGCATGCTAACTGATTAATGTAACTAGCTTCAATGACGTGGCCTGGACAACGTCCGAAGACAACAAACGGGGTGTCATTGCGGGTGGCTTGGAGAATGGCTCGCTGGAGTTGTGGGATGCTGATAAGTTACTCGCTGGATCTAGGTTGGTTGAACTCTACATATGAACTACTTTCCCGGGATAGTTTGCTGATCGCACAATTTCAGTGATGCGTTGATCTCAAGAACCAGTAAACACAGCGGCGCCATCAAGACCCTTCAGTTCAACCCGAAACACCCGAACCTCCTGGCAACCGGCGGCGCAAAGGGAGAGGTAGGCTGAATTCGATGATAATTGGTTGGATATGCGGCTAATTACTGGATAGCTGTTCATCTGGGACCTAAACAACATCGAGAACCCATTCCGGTTGGGCAACAACGCCGCCCGCACAGACGATATCGACTGCTTGGATTGGAACAGGAAGGTTCCTCACATTCTGGTGACCGGTAGCAGCTCCGGCTTTGTGACGGTCTGGGATGTCAAGACGAAAAAGGAGAGTCTGACACTGAACAACAAGGCCCGGAAGGCTGTCAGTGCAGTGGCATGGGACCCCGAGAGGGTACGTTGGCACGCCCTACGCGGTTATTTCAGGATTGCTGACCATTTCCACGTCTAGCCCACAAAGCTTATTACATCGTCACCGCTGGAGTCAGACCCAGTACTTTATGTCTGGGACCTGCGCAACTCCCACGCCCCGGAGCGGGTAGGTTACTCATTCAGAGCGCAGGTGTGACTTGATACTGATATTATTTGTGTAGACACTCACCGGCCACGAGTCCGGTGTGCTCTCACTTTCTTGGTGTGAGCATGATCCTGATCTCCTCCTGTCTTCCGGCAAAGATAACCGTAATATCTGTTGGAACCCGCAAACCGGCCAAGCATACGGAGAGTTCCCCGTTGTTACGAACTGGACCTTCCAGACCCGCTGGAACCCCCATAACCCAAGCTTCTTTGCCACCGCGTCGTTTGATGGAAAGATCTGTGTCCAGACCCTACAGAACACCAAGAGCGATAGCGCCCAGGCCGTTGCCGATCACAACCAAGCCTTGGACGGCGAGGACTTCTTTAACAAGGCGCAAACCCAGCCTCGAGTCTCCAAGTTCTCTCTCCCGAAGGCCCCTCGCTGGCTTGAGCGGCCTTGTGGTGCTACGTTTGGCTTTGGAGGTCGGGTCGTTTCCTTCGGTCTGACCGAGAAGGGCTCTCGTATATCCAATATCAAAATCACATCGTTCGAAGTCGATGAGACCGTTGGCAATGCCACTGAGAGCTTTGAGACTGCATTGAAAGAGGGCGATATTCGTACTCTCTGTGAGTCTCGTGCTTCAGGTGCTTCCAATGAAGCAGAAAAGGCAGACTGGAAGGTGATGCAGGCTTTGATTTCTGAAAACCCACGCAAGGGCTTGGTGGAGTACCTGGGATTCCAGGATCAGGCTGACGAGGCCGCCGATAGTCTCGCGAAGCTTGGCTTGGACAAGAAGGAAGGCGAGGACACCAACGGCACTCCCGCCAAACCGGCTGGAGTTAAGAAGCACAAGCGTCTGCAATCTATGTTCGACGCCAACCCTGAAGGTGACAACTTCCTTTCTGAACTGGCAGCTTCCAAGGGTGCTCAGACCAACAACCCATTCCAAATCTTCAATGGTTCAGAAAGCCAGGCAGAGAAACAAATCACTCGGGCTTTGCTCCTCGGGGAGTTCGAGAAAGCCCTGGATGTTGCCCTCCGAGAGGATAAGATGTCCGATGCTTTTATGATTGCTATTTGCGGTGGCCCAAAATGCATCGAAAAGGCACAGGAGTACTACTTCTCTAAGCAGGCTGGCGGTCCGAACTATATGCGCTTGCTCGCGTCTATTGTGGGTAAGAACCTGTGGGATGTGGTGCATAATGCCGACTTGTCCAACTGGAAAGAAGTTATGGCTGCCTTGTGTACCTTTGCCGACGAGAAGGAATTCCCTGATCTCTGTGACGCTCTTGGTGACCGCCTGGAGGAGCAGGTCCAGAATAGCGATGATAAGAGCGCCCGTAAGGATGCTTCTTTCTGCTTTTTGGCAGGCTCAAAGCTTGAGAAGGTTGTTGCTATCTGGGTTGAGGAGCTCCGCGAGAATGAGCAGAAAGGAATTGAAAGCAGCACTGACAGCTCTTCCTTCTCCATCCATGTCCGTGCTCTGCAGGGTCTGATCGAGAAGGTTACCATCTTCCGCCAAGTCACCAAGTTCCAGGATACGGAGCGTAACAAGGACTCGGATTGGCGCTTGAGCGTCTTGTACGACAAGTACATTGAATATGCCGATGTTGTCGCTACCCATGGACGCTTGCAAATTGCTCAGAAGTACCTCGACCTTGTCCCCGAGAAGCACCCTGAAGCTGAGGTGGCCCGCAATCGCATCAAGCTTGCCACAAGACAAGCACCCCAGGCCGCCAAATCTGCCTTCAAGCCCCTCCCCCAACAGCCCAATTTGTACCAGCCGCAGCAAATTTATAACCCTGCTGCTACTACAACGCCGGTTGCTGCTCCTAACATTTATGCGCCAACTGCGCCTCCTGTTACCCAGCAGGCTAATCCGTATGGCCCTCCAGCGACCTCCTCGCCAGCTCAGCCTGCCAACCCCTACGCTGCTATGTCGACGGGAGGCGCCTACGGATCGGCAGCTGGGTATCAGCCAACTCAGGGCATGAGGCCTACCAGTTATACTCCACCATCTGCATTCGGTGGACAACAGCCCACAGGTGCCGGTGTCCCTCCCCCTCCTCGGGCGTCATCTAACCAGTCGCCGGCCAACACAATCACAACATACACCACGGCCACTGGCCTTCCTGCATGGAATGATTTGCCAGAAGGCTTTGCGAAGGCTCCTACACCCCGCCGTGCAACTCCTGCAGCAGCTTCTGCACCCATCGCCTCTCCTTTCCCCAACCAGTCACCGAATCTGGCCCAGGGACCTCCCCCGGTTGGTGCTCCGCGCGCACCATCCGTGCCTCCCCCACCAAAGGTGGGCTCGGTGCCTCCGCCACCGCGCATGATGTCGCCGCCTTCTGGTGGGCAAGCTGGATCTAACATCCCTGGGGCTTCCCCGCCGCCCCCTGCCAACCCATACGCTGCTCTTCCTCAGTCACCGCCGTTGGCTCAGGGGTCAACCATGGCTCCCCCGGCATCCATCCCCCGCGGAGCGTCGCCCTACAACGCTCCTCCCAGCGTGCCACCCCCAACCAACCGGTATGCACCAAGCCCGGCTGCCCAGACAGCGACCCCGCAGCAGCAGACTCGTGGCCCAGTGGCTCCGCCTCCCCAGGCCTCTGCCTCGCAGTACGCCCCACAAGCAGTATCACAAACCCCCGCGGCAAACCCATATGGACCCACCACGCCCATTGCTGCACAGCCTCCACCTATGGCCCAGGGTATCCCGCCTCCGCCTCAAGGCTCTCGACCTCCAACAGCCCAGTCGCAGAGGCCGACTCCTCCGGCTCCCAAGTATCGTGAGTAACCCCAGTCAACAATAATTAATTCCAGCAATTGACCCTTATTACAGCCCCCGGTGACCGTTCACACATTCCTGCAAACGCACAGCCTGTCTTCGAGATTCTGTCAGCGGACATGCAGCGCGTCAAGACCAGGGCCCCTGCGGCATTCAAGGCACAGGTTGATGATGCCGAGCGCCGCTTGAACATCCTCTTTGATCACCTCAACAACGAGGACTTGCTCAAGCCGAACACTGTTGAGGACATGGCGAACTTGGCACGCGCGCTGCAGCAACGTGATTACAATGCCGCCCTCGCTATTCATGTTGATATCATGACCAACCGGACTGACGAATGTGGCAACTGGATGGTGAGTGACCCTTGGACTTGTAGGTTTTGAACGGTCACTAACAAGTATAATTATAGGTCGGTGTGAAGCGACTGATTAGCATGAGCCGCGCTACTCCGTAAATGACACCCTTGTACCTTGTCAAGTAAAGGGAATGCTAAAGGCTTGGTATAACTTACGTATTTCTGGCCTTGTTTTCTCTATACTTCAGCGTTTCTCTAAATTTTCTCATCTTCCTTGTCCATTTTATAATTAATGCCTTGCGTATTTTCTTCGGTTCTTTCGTCTTCTCTCCTGGGGGCATAAACCCGATCATGAGCAAAGCACAAACTTTCCAACGTTTCCAAGAGTGGTTGATATTCACTGCATGATGCCTTCTTATTTAGACTGCTAGGTAGACATGAATCAAATGAGGATATGGCTTTCGCTTTACCGGTCAAGAATATATATACTAGGATCCAGGCTATAATTTGACAGATGCAATCAACTACATGAAGATATAAACCAAGGCAACCACCTAGAGAATCCATTGCAATCTATATACATTTATACAATCGCATCAAAACGATCCAACCCGATCACCGTCCACCGACGGGAAGACCACCAAGTCGTCCGCCCCGACTAGCAGGGAAGTTGCGGGCACTCAACAGCGCACCCTTCACACCGCGAATATCAGCTCTAAACCCAGCAATAGCCTCATCTTCCGCCTTCCGCAGACCAGAGCTATTACTCGAGCCCGAGGTACTAGAATTCCAGACGCCGTACGTCGACCCAGAAGAGTACGTAGGACCGCTATAGATCAACCCATCACAATAATGATGCAGCTCAGTGAGACGGGTACGCATCGAGTCATCCAGCGTACTCGCATCCTTCTCCGAATCGACGATTTCGCGCAGCTTCGAGGTGATAGATTCAACGCGGCTGACGTGGTTGTTAACCGCCGTCGACGGAGAGACGGCCGCCGAGTCCGCTGAGTTGACGGGACCGGTGGCGCTGGGCAGCGGGGTGGGCTCTGGAATCGTCTGTGTTGCGACGTCCCGGTGGAACAGCTCGGTTGGGTCGGAGGTGATCGACGAGGCGTCGTCTTCTTCTTCATCGCCGTAGGGCTTACTCTTGCGTGCAGTTAACTCTGCCGGGATCACGGATACTGTCTTCTCCAGCTTCTCGTTTAGCTTTTGCAGGTTGGCGTCTGCAGTGCTGGCGAGCTCGCGTCGTGCGTTCGTTAGGTTCGCTAGCATTGGTTTCACGAGGTACTCGCTTGCACCGTAGAGACTCGCTCCTAGGCCTGCGGCGCCGTATAGTGTATATAAAAGGCTGCGCATTGTCACGAGGGGCGGCGGCTTGGATGACTCGAAGAGGAATTCGGGGTAGGTGATTATTGGGGGGACGTCGCGGGCGGGGGTTGGTGCTGGTGCTGGTGCTGGGCGTGATTGAGGCATAGTGTTGGAGGGTGGTGAGAAGGTGGCAGGAGGAGAAGGGGTGGCTTGGGATTGAGCGGGTGAGGTAGATGCTGTCTCCTCCTGTGTCTTGTCCTCGGCTGGAGTTGAGCTGCTGCCCGCCTCAACGTTGCGGGAGATGCCGAGGACTTGCTGGATATCGGCTGAGCTCAGGCCTTTTGACTCGAGGAATGAGACCTTGCGCTCTATCGGTGCATCGTGGATTGACTCGTCTTCTAGGAATTTCGATGCTTGGTCTAGGAGAGTTTGTCGGGAAGTGGAGGTTGTAGTTGCGGGCGCATCGTCGGAGGTCGGCGATGGCGATTCCTCAGCCGTCTTATTGGGCCTCTGCCATGAGGGAATAGATGCTGATTTGGATTGGTCGTCAGACATGATGGGGTGTCTAGCGCATTTGCCAGAGATATGGAAAGCAAAGGCGTTGGGGTGTTGTAAAGAGGAGACGGAACCTTCCCCGGACCTGGGCCATGTGAGCCCGACCTCGGCTGTTCCAACGCCGGTCTACACCTCAGGCATGAATATTGCTGTACATTTTGAGATCACACTGATACGAGCTTCCCATGTGCTAAAAATATGATATTGTTCAAGACTAATCCAAATATCAATTGTGTCTATTTTATTTTAATTGTATTTAGGTAGCTATTATGTGTCTTAATATTGAAAATAGAAAACAAAAGGTACCATCTTTCTTCACCGAGAATAGCCTATATGTAAGACGAAGCCATACCACCTGACTTCAGGTCCTATTGAAGGCTATAGAGTCCTCTACAGCAATTATTTTCATATCCTATCTGGATAGATCAATTGCATATTGCAAGATCATCGCCATATTCAAATGGCGTATATACTCGATACCGCCCGGCAGAATGGACCGCGCAGTACTTCATTCGTTCATCCAGCGTCAGCGACTGGACACCTGGAGAATCTGAAACTTTAGAGAAAAGTACCTGTGAGTATGGCGCTTCCCCCGTTGATCTTGTTTTCTGTTCCTTCCCATTTGCCTAAGCCCGGGGTTGGTTAGACCCCGAAGCCCCCCAGAGAAGCCAGGAGAAACAAACCAAAAGCCCCTGTAAGAGTGCGCTTTGTTCGCACTGGAAAGATCCCGTATAGAAAAGCAATCTGTATCTTCCCGGTTTGCATCTCCGCCTCGCACTTCGTGGATGAAGTGATTGGATATCCTTCCTTCTCTCTCTATCTCTCTCCGGACTGCACCCCCCTCCGAAAAGGCTTAATGGCTTAGTTCATACTGCCACACACTCGCCTATCGACCTTCCCTGTCCCGCTTCTTTTTGCTGTTCTGGCTTTTGCGTTTTCATTTCCCCATGACTTCTGTCACACTTGATAAAGCCACCACCATGTCGCTCCGTCGATCCCTTCGATCGCGAAAGACACAAGATGACACCCCAGAACCAGATGCTAACATGACCACCAGGTCTACGAGACAAACTCGTGCATCTACTTCCGCATCTGCTTTAATTTCAGTCTCTCGGTCTTCATTGAATTCAGGAGATCGAAAGAGATCTCTCCGTCTTACTGTCAAAATGCCCTCCAGCAAATTGCGGGAAGCTACGAGTGCTGGCCGTGCCAATGGACGGCGCTCAGTCAATGTGTTCCGGGAAGATCCCATTGTTTCGGGACCCCGCTCCAGTCGGAACCGAAAGAAGATTGTAGAAGTTGCTACAAGCGACGATGACATCGACGATCAGGAAGAGGATGAAGTCGATGATGAAGATGCACCTGGAGATGATGACGACGATGAAGATGCCGATGCTGACGCCGACGCTGATGGCGACATCGATATGGATGACGTCCGGCCCCAGGCACCTATCAGGCGCGGTAAGGTCACTCCTCCGTCTCGGGCCAAGGCACCCAAGAGCGTGGAAGCCAAGGAGATGGATATGGAAGAAGACGAAGAGGAAGAGGAGGACGAGGAAGAGCCTATTTCCGATACGGATGAAGACGCCGAAGCCGAGGCTGAAGATCAGGACGAAAGTGCAGTTCCAGACGTCAATGGTGATGATCTAGATGAACTCGATGAAGAGGACGAAATAGACGACGACATGGATAGTGATGCACTCGCTATGCAAAGTGGCAAAACCACCAAGCGCCAGCGAGGAAACCTGGGAAATGATTTCTTGCAACTTCCTATGGGTGAGAAACTGCAGATAATCAAAAATTTGTCGAAACCGAAGCTAACTAAAAAGATAGAACCCCAGGTCAAGAAGCATTTGACCGCTGAAGAGCGCCAGATGCGTCGTGCAGAGATGGCTCGGCGAAGAAAGAACCTGAGTGAGAAGCGGAACGAAGAGGAAAAGGTATGCGCAACAAGGCACTTTACATACACATCCATAAGAGAACGGCCGTTAACTCTGAATAACAGATGGACACGATTAATCGACTACTCAAGAAACAGGCCCCCAAGCGCCGCGGTCGAGCTGCGGCGGCCGAGGCTGATGGCACCCCCGGCCAGGAAGCCGCGGAGACCGATAGAGCCGACCCTACCATGGCGCGCTGGATCAGTGGTTCAAATGGCTGTAGAGTCAGCGTGCCAGAAGAATGGCTGGGTACACCTGCTGGGCGTGTCTTCGGCGCACCTACAGTTCCCGCGGGAAAAATGGTTGAAGAAGTTTGAAGTTGCATGCAGAAAGTACAACGGATTGGCGCTTATGGAAGGATTTTCTACTGAGGTATTCGGGATGGACTACATCATTTGCAAGGGACTAGGGTTGATTTTCTGTGTGTGCTGCGAACGGCGTTCAAAACATGCCTCTTCCAAATGTCAAGTTTAAATGTCACGCAATACATCGACTGTTTCAAATGTCTCCAGGGACACATGGATATGCCGAGAAAACCGGCTTTTATATTCAATTAGTCGGAAACCCTCACTAGTACAGGCTAGCCGATTCTAGGTCACCATTCAGTACTCTACCCACAACTACTTCTGTCTGGCCGTTGCGCTAATTCCATATATACAACGGCCTCCAGGGCCGGTCACAAGACCTGACAAGTGTGGCACGGCCAGACATATGGTGCCATGTGCACCGAAGCCTCCGAGCGCGGGGAAGAGCATTGTTTCCAATAGAGCGTAGTGCGCCGAGAACAGGCTATTGGCACAAGCATGCTTGGTGTACCCAGGCCAATTCATGTTCAGAATGCCACTTCGAGGCGAAGGCCGCTTCATCGTCATTGAGCTGTCGACTTGGGATCTTGCTGGAACTCGGCTTTGGTGGGAGCATTGGTATCCTGCTTCAGAGCAACAGGATCAGATGGAGGTGAAGCCTTCTGAGACTGTTGTCTCTCATATTGAAGTTGCTGGAATGTCGGCTGGAAGGTATAGTAGCCTGGAGCAGATAGAAACTTCGAGATTAGAGATTGATACCAGAGATGAGCTATTCTTGCTGTAAAGTAGATTTACCTGTGAAGACACCCACGCCAATAGCGAAGAGGGCAGGGAAGAAATTGCGACTCATTTCGGAGGAATTGGGGTAGACAGCGAGATTTGCAGTTGGCGGTTGGGGGAGGTTGCGGAGATGATGCGGGAAATCGGTTATCAGTTGGCTGATTAGCAGCCAGCGCGCGTCTGCTAAATTGCTCCGTTGGCACGCGTCAGAATCAAATTCCCTGCATTCAGACAGTTTGATTAGTTGTTCGACGTTTTATCTCATTGTGTTTCGCGAATTTTAGCCAGAGAATTATTTCCCTTACGCTTTTATCCCCCTGAGACCACCCAATGACTGCTTAGAGACATGGGGGATCCCCGCCGAGGATGCAAATGGAATCATGGCGACAACGAGGATATGTCCCCGACTCGGACGAGGAAGATGGCTTCGATTCTCTAGATGCGAAGAAGGACAATGTCGAAAATAGCCCTACTGTCGAAAATCTCGAATATATCGACAACCCTTCATCCTCGCCGAAGGAGCAACAGGAGCACTTTCCGGCTGAGAACGGCTCTATCACACTCTCAGATACAGAGGAGGTGGTGCGAGGGAACAAGAATCGAGCAAATCTTCACTTAACAAATCCCTTGCATGACGAAATGACACCAAAACAAAGAAGAGGACGCAAGACCTGCGGACTTCGATCGTCGCCTACGAAATCAGCGAATCGCCGCAGCAGTGAGCTGCGGAATACCAACGCCTCCACAAAGAATACAACCAGCATATATGATTTCCCAACATCGTCACAAGAACATGACAGGCCTCAATCGAAGCCCTCGAGCTGCGAGTCTACCCCGAAGCCCTTGAAGATCGCGCGGCCCTCGCGGCCACAAGTTATAGCAGAGCCACACACCTCCAAGGAAAACACACGGGACGAGACCTCAAGCACTCGGAGCTCCTCGCCCGACGAGTTGGTGCTGATCCCTCAGCCAACTCTGAAGAAAAAGCCCAAACATGTCCAGCCAATAGAGGCGCCACCATTACCACCACCGCAGGAGTGTTCGGAAGATGACTCTCCATTATCTTCTGTACCGTCATCCTTTGGCTCTCCGCCGGCCAAGGATTCTGCAGAAATACACGCAGATTATGTAAAAGAGGCAGAACCAGGAAGACCGACAGATGGGGAGGGAGATCTACGGAAAGCAGTGCTCATTGAACTAGATGCCAGCCCAGACGATGTATCACCGCACCTTGATATACCCGAAGAAGTGTTGCGAGAATTACCGCGTGCTGCGCAAAGAACATTCCGAAAGCGCAATGCCATCCAAATGCACCCGTACCATTTGGAACAGCTCAAGTTTGCCCAGCAACTGCAAGCGCGGGGGGTCAAGCCCTTCGGTCGACCGGCACAGCAAAGACAGCAGGTTACTGATGAAAGCCAAGAGCAAGATTCATATGATCCCGATGCGCCTCCCTCAAGCCCTCCTCTCGAGGAGTATCTTCCGCCGATAAGACATGAACGGCATCGTGGCCCACAATCTGCTACGCAAGGACGCGAACACAACGAGTCAGAGCACCTCCAGCCATCGCAAGCTCATCATCCAAAGCGCCAGAAGATTTCCCATCCTGGAACTCCCAAAGAGCGTCGAAATTTGCACAAACCGACCAAGCCTCGTGGCATTAGAGACAACAACGTAGCTGCTGGGAATCAAAACGGTATCTCGATATATGATCTATCATCTAGCCCTCCACACGCAGGCCGTTTATCTTCGACCTCAAGAACCCCTCGTGCCTCAGAAGGAGGTTTCCGGTTTCCTCGTGGGTGGTCGCCGCCAGGAGAAGTTGCGAAGTCTGCGGCACAGGAAACAGAAGAAGCTGGCCAGGCCCAATCACCTGGGGCCGGTACAGATGATGAGGAAGTACAGCCCATCTCGTCTAACAGCCAGAGTGATCAAGAAGAAACCAAGTCAGATGCTGAAGAACGTGAAATTCGACGATTCCAACGCATGATCCGAGGAGCGCTCCCTGCGTCACATGCTCGGCTGGATCTGAAGAAAAATGCAGATAAAGAAAAAGCCCTGCAATTAGATCGCCATGCTTCTTCGCAACGACCGGATGGAAAGGGTGTTGCGCGGAAGCTCATTCGAAAGGGTGATCGCTCAAGGCAACCAGGAACGCAACAATCAAGAGGCTTGTTTGATCTTGGAGATTCCGACTCGGATGATGAGGACAGTCGCAACGATGCCACAGGAAATGCCTCTATAGCCAATGACTCCAGCCACAGGTTGACTGGCACCCCTGGCCTAGAAGATCCCTTCGCCCTGGAAAGGGGTGATGTCTCTGAGGATAACCGCATCGACTACATGTTTCCGCCTATTCCGCGGAACTCAACAGATTCTCGGCACAAAACGAAAAGTCTAAAAAGGCCAAAATCGAAACGAAGTCTGCTCAATGGGGAGAGACAGCCGAAGAGACCACGACAAACCCGAATGACTGATGCCTCGTATGGTGCACGAAGGACCAGGAAACGTGAAACTGCCCTGCGACCAAGAATAGGAATCTTGGATGCGCCAGATGTTGCCACGAAGTCTCGCAAAGAGCAATCACGACTGCTCAGAGTAGCGACAAGAAGACCACGCTCACGTAAAGATGGAGGCAGGCAGAGCCCTACTCAGAAATTCGTGAAACTGGCCTCAAGGGAAGACACAGTGGATGCAAATGAGTCTTTGCGAGATTGGAAAAGGGGAGCTATTAGGCAGACCAAGATTAGCCCACCTCGTCCCAAAGCTCGCCAGCACCGGCATTGGATAACGAATCTTTCGTTTCTCAGTGCTCGAGCTAAGTCGAATACTACAAAGGGCTGGATACCGAGCCGATTCCTTGATGCTGAGCCAGACACTGATGTTTCGAACACCAACATGGTAAAGCCGGAAGAGGTACAGGCGCCACCTGAATCTAGCGCAGGATCAGTCCTGCCAGACCAACCCCCAGTGGCCGTATCCTCGTCTCGTCGAAAACCAGAGCAGCACGGTCATACGTGGGTTATTCCTAGGAATGTTGCCATAACATCTTTGAAGAGGAACACCATTAGGCCTGCGGCAACTAGTTTGGCAGGCCCGAGTAGAAGTCAGAAAGTGGTTCCAGCCGTGTTCAACCAGTCATTGTCTATTCTTAACCGACAGTATAAAAACCAGCGCACATCTCAACCTTACAAGCCCAGCTTGACCTTGGATCGATATGTGTCCGACAGTGGATCATTGAGTACTGGAGGCAATTCCTCGCCTGTGAATGCTTCTGTTGCTGCTGCTGCCGCCGCCGCTTCAGCTGAAGCACGAACTCAAACGCTAACCAAAAAGGCCCCTGTATCTCGACGGCGGTTGAAGAAGCATCCTCCCAAGCGAATAAATCTCGATGCCGAAGAATTCCGTCAGAATCCAGATCCTACTACCATAGTCTCTGATGACTCGGAACCTACTGCGATAACGCAGGTTGGACATGCACATCCTTCGTCTTTCAGTGTCGGCGGGCTTTTCAACTGGCATCGCTTCTATCCGGTCGACTTTGGAATACCATCCCTACGTGACAATACATTCTTCCATGAGTCTACATTCATAGGAAGCGGGGAATTTTCTCGTTCACTGCGAATCATAGAGCGGGACTTCGATGGGGATGCCACTTCATTCTCCATCGAGCTTAGAGACGAGACATTCAAATGGAATCGCTGGAACGATACAGTATCATCGGAGATGGGGCAGGTCTTTGATGTGATAATCGATAACGTTGAGCGAAGTGCTGTTACCTCCCCAGAGACGGGCATTACGGTTGCGCTAGGGGTGGCATCGAGGTTATACAGGTTGTTGATCAAATACATCACGGGAAACCTGGTTTTCATCGACCCGGTTGATCGTACGGGGTTTGTTACTAGAGCAACGGGGCTGGTCTCCCAGGTGAGAGACCCGTTGGCTGCCTTTCTGACTAGCGACGAATACAACAAGAACGGGCTCGTCAAAATTGCCTGCTTCAACATGGTTTTCTCGAACCAGATCTATCAAGTTGCTTCTCATCGGCTCGTCAGCCCTGCCCTGGCGACGGAAGCTTTAGATCTTGCCAAAATATCCGCTAAAGACGTTGCAGGCTTGATCACGTCCAAATTCGGTTCTTCTGAGTTTACAACGTTGTTCAAGGAAAACAACGAGCCTGAACGCCGCGAGTCGGGGATTCGCGATGAGTATCCATCGGTGGAGGCCTACGTCGTCACTAAACATCTTCTACGCAGCTCAGACAACTATAAGGGCTGCTTTGAAGATATCCAGCTCGAGACTTTCAACAATGGACTCATTCACAATGAAAGGGATGTGGGCAGCCTAGAGGCTGGTTGGCGTGGCATATTCACTGTCTTACCCCTCAACGAAATAGACCTGCTTGGGATTGCGCGCCCTGGTTATCAGTTGACAGCTGTTAATGACAATTGGAAATTAGCCAAACGGCTTGTCGCCCCGGCGCTGGACCATTTCGAGTCCAACTCTAAGGCACAACCCATCTCGTACAACAGTTACTGTCGAACCTTGTTCCTCAGGTGTCATCGCCTTATTAATTCCTGGGGGTGGAGAGAATGCAAACCTATTCTGGACACGCTATTCGACTTCTTCGCCAAGAACACTCTCCACAACCTGAAACTCGAGGAAGCTCGTGGCTCGCCTTCATTTCTTGACGAACTTGATAGCAATCCTTCCCTGGATGCCCGAGCGGGGGAACCGTGTTTCCACACATTTCTCAAGATTGTAGCAAGTGGTCTCCGCTTCTTGGCGAAGAGATATGACAAGAAGAAGATTCGAAACTTTGCCTGGCGTCTTTTACCCAACCATGGCCGTGTGTACCCGAAAGAGCAGCCATTGCAGCACGAGGACCTCGATGCACTGAGGAATCATCACGATCTTCTCAGCACCCTGTACTGGGCTGTCCCCGATGGGTGTCGTCCTCGACTGGAGACGATACGCAATCTGGTCCATCCTGCCACTTCACATCGTGAAGCGTGCAGCATAAATTTGCGGTCATGGTCAAGGCTTGTTCGATTCAAGCTTTCTACGGATGAAGATATTTCGGGACTTGATCCGTTTGCAGACTGGTACGGCTATTTCGTAACGGAATTACAACAACAGCATTCATATGCTCGCAAGGAGATTGAGGCTCAAAACACAGGCGACAACCGGGTTTCTCAACAGCTTGTTGAACGCACAATCTCCCAGAACCAGCGACAGATTGAGACCTTATTGAGCAATGCGCTTAGTGGGCTGCGGATTGCTGTCCAACTGGCCCCGAAACTGGAGCATGCACACAGGCTTGTTCTGAGAACTCCCTTTGAGTCTATCCTTACAATTTTTAACCCCAAGCTCCCGCGTGTCAATGTCGTTGTATCTGAGGCACTGCAGGTCCTGGTAGCGTACACCAAGAAAGACGTTCCAGCTACATCAGATGCTCCTGCGGCAGTGACCATTGATGAGGACAGTCAGGAGTTCGGTGACTGGGATGCCATTCAGGCTGTTTGGGACCAGCAAAGTTCCCCTAGCGAAGGTATCGAACATGTAGAGAAGACTTTTCATCCGATTGTTTCTCGTCTGGTTTCCAATTGCTTTGGCGAGGACCACTGTCCCGAGGATGCGATTCTTCTCAACGTGGTAGAATGCTGGACGTCAATAGCCCAGGTTCTCATTCGCCATGGTCTCCGAAATTGGGACAATTATTTGAGCGAATTCGGCGATGATTCCTGGACGCGGCTTCGGCAGACAGTCCAGACAAGAAAATTTGCACCACTGTTCCTTGCAGAATGCATTGAAAAGGACGCGCAGATTGTTTCTGAGTGCCGAATCCAAGTTATGAGTATGTGGATGTCATCGTTGGTTGAACGCTCCTCGATGTTGAAGTTTCAACATCGTCTCACAGAGGCGCTTTTGAACGGAAGTCCCACAGATCCCTTGCTTGCCAATCTGCCATTCTCTAAGGATAGGAAGATTGGCCGGTATACAATCACGTTGGAGGAAATTGGCTCTCGGCGACTATCTCTTCTCTCGAGCCTATCGTCTAATATGCGTGAGCAGCTCCAAGACATGGAAGTCTCTGGCAATCGGAACTTCTCTGTGACAAAACAAGAGTACTCCGAGATGCTTCAGCGGGTAATGATGTCCATGAAAGGCAACTACCAAGAGCTAGGTACTGGGACAGGGCAGGCTGCTCAAGGGGAATACGTCGAGTTTGTGCAACGCGTCATCGGTTTCCTTCAGCAACATACCAGCGACATCAAACCTATCGACCCCTTCTTCACGGACCCTGCTTCGTTCCCTTTACCATCTACCGACCCACGGTACATTGTTGCGAAGCTCAAACGCTACGAGTCGAAGTTATCTTCCAGCAAAGAGATCCAGACTTTGACCGGGTTCGTCCAGAGCATTTCCGAGCGCGCGGCCATTGACGGCCAACAGAGCTACCTGGTTGACCAGCTGCACACTTCGATGAAAAATACGTACGAGGCTGGAGACAACGACAAACCCACTCTCCGCGCTGTCCTCTTGCAATGCGTGTTTCCAGCGTATCTCGAAGCGATGCTTCCCAACCGCGCCGCCTGGATCCTCAGCCGTCCCATCATCCATACTATCACGCTGGAGTTCAAGAACTTGCTGTGTAATATAGACACTCTGGATGCAGCCTGTGTGTCTTCTGTCATCGATATGATCGATGTTGTATGCCGAGCCTCCTGTCAAGCACTAGGTGTGGTGGCCTTCCGTCGCCGTCGTCTGCAAAGTGCTCCGACTTTACTTATGCTTGCCGCCTTCCTAGACATGATCTCCTCGGCATTGCCAGTGGTAGATTACATCGATCGAGCCACTGGCGCCGGGGAGGGTATTCTCACGCACATCGAGTGGATCCGCGATTTCGTCAAAGCTGTGAGCAGATGTCTACAAAGCACAGATCCAGACGCGCCCTCGTGCAATGCCCATGTCGTATTTCCTGCGATGCCACCACCCTCTGATACCAGAAAAACTGAACTCTTCGCCACGGCTAACAACCTCGCCTCGACGGACCTACAAATCTATCTCAGGAAATGGTCTTATCATCAGGATAAGTACTACTTTACTCGTCCCGGTCATGAGTCACAGGAGGTCACAATCGAGCCTGAGATTGCCGTTCTGGTGGCTAATCAGAATGAAGCGGAGAAGGCCTTTGAGGATGCAGCGAGAGGATTCGTTGATCGGGCAAAGTTTCTGGAGTTAATGTCTTGACCTTGTGGTTCTTCGTTCGGTCTTTATATAGACGGCGTTCTTGGGGGAAAGTTTAACGTATCACGAATATCAGAAAGGAATCAATAATGTTATCTTGTGCAATGTTGCTGCTATAATAGAGGCTATACTTTTCGGTTCTCATCACATTATATTACGGCTCGTCACACTATAGTACGGGTTTCTCTAGTCGGAGAGTCCTCCTGAATAATATATGGCAAGTTGGATCTGAGACGCAGGTAAATCAGGCGTGTTCAGGATCATGGCAGTCAACGGAGATTGCCTCAGGGGATTCCATGGCGGCCTGCATATCCAGCCTAGTCTAGGGTATAGTGCAGCCCTAATTGATTTGATTTGGTGCGCTGTTTGCACTGGGCATAAGGCTCCATGCATATCATATAATGCAGGACTTGGTTTCATCTCAACAGCACGTTCTGCAGTTTCACATTGCGAGTTGAATAGCAGGCGGAAGTCGATTTTCCCCGTGATGAATCATTTCGTCATTTCGAAATTCAGTCATGCGTGTGGCCCACGCGCAAAAGCCCCGGGATAGACCCGAAAGTATCTTGAACAGAGCGACATCGATGTTAATCCACAATTCGAGTTGTACCCAGCGTTTCCATATGCCCGGCACATTCATTCGCCCCGATCAGCTGGCGTAGGAAGCCGGATCTGGGAATAGCGCCGGGGATACTCGGCACTACTGTAGCATTTTAACGATTGATTCCTGATCGTGATGGGCAGGCACTAGTCTGGCGATGGTACCATATGCTGCAGGGACAAAAAGCAAAAGCAGAAAGATCACACGGAAAATCTGCGAATACTACACAATCTCACGTGGATGTGACTGTTGTCGGGTGTTACAATATTCTATGGGGAAAAGGAAACAAGTTTTATACTCGCCATTGAAGTTATTTTCCAAGGTTAATATTGGTATTTCACATGTCTCGTTTTATTCGTTTGGAGTCTAATGCATTTTGGGAAGTATAACGTCGTATAGTATAGTTGACTATAATGAAGTTGATGATGAACTATATAATCTGCTAAGAGACCTCGGAAACTCGTTGAGAAATCAACTTATGAATTAGGGATTCATGCACCTTTTAGCGATTATGATTTGGAAGCCTCTCTTTAGCACAGTGGCCATATTGGCAAATACTGTCCTCCCAGCTCTAGCTGCCCCAACTCTCGATTCGGAGCTGTCTAGTCAGTCGGAAGACAAATATGTCTTCGCCCACTTCATGGTCAGTATATCAACGCAAACACTTACCATCCTCCATCGTTGACATAGATTCCATATATCTAGGTCGGTATAGTAAAAGACTACCAGCTAGCAGACTGGAAAGAAGACATGACCACAGCCCAATCCATCGGTATCGACGCATTCGCACTGAACTGCGCAAGCATAGACAGCTACACACCAACCCAGCTAGCCTTAGCCTACGAAGCAGCCGAGCAAGTCAACTTCAAAGTGTTCATCTCTTTCGACTTCGCCTACTGGACCAACGGGGATACAGCAAAGATCACAGAGTACATGAAACAATATGCAGGCCACCCAGCGCAGATGCAATACAAGGGAGCCGCGGTAGTAAGTACATTTGTCGGAGACAGTTTCGACTGGGATGCAGTGAAACAGGGCACGCCGCATCCCATTTACGCATTGCCGAATCTGCAAGACCCCGCCGAGGCTACCACCGGCCCTGCCAAGAGCGCCGATGGTGCGTTCTCGTGGCTGGCTTGGCCTACGGATGGGGGAAACAGTATCATCCCAGGACCGATGACTACCGTTTGGGATGATAAATTTGTTCAGTTTCTCGCGGGGAAAACTTACATGGCCCGTAAGGAACCCTTTCTAGTTCTCTCTGGGTGAATAGTAGACTAACTCAATGGCAGCCGTCTCACCCTGGTTCTCAACCCACTTCAACACCAAGAACTGGGTTTTCGTTTGCGAGAATCTGCCAACATTACGTTGGGAACAAATGCTTTCCCTTCAGCCGGATCTGATTGAGATAATTACATGGAATGGTGAAATACCTTTATATCCCGGAAAATTACAAAGCCTCTCCTAACCGAAGTTATATAGACTACGGCGAATCCCACTACATCGGCCCGTACTCAGCCCATCACAGCGACGACGGATCATCCCAGTGGGCAGCCGATATGCCCCACGACGGCTGGCGTAACTTGTTCAAGCCCTATATCGCAGCTTACAAGTCTGGAGCGAAGACTCCTACCGTGGAAGCGGATGAAGTCGTGTACTGGTACCGTCCTACGCCCAAGGGTGTCGTGTGCACGGGAGATACCCTCTCAGCACCAATGGGTGCGGACATGCTTAGTGATAGCATTTTTGTTGCGACTATGTTGACGAGTCCGGCTACCTTGACTGTGCAGAGTGGGAATAACGCTCCTATTGACATTGACGTTCCGGCGGGGATTGTTACCTCGAATGTGACTATGGGAGTTGGTGCCCAGTCTTTCAAAGTGGCTCGGGATGGACAGACGATTCTGAGTGGTCAGGGGGGTTTGGCAGTTAAGGATAGCTGTGTTCATTATAACTTCAATGTTTATGTTGGGTCACTGACTGGGGGAGTCGATGGTGGTGCTAACTCGACTGGGGTTAAGAGGTAGCATGTGATATTATGGAGTACATATATCTTGGGGACTGTAGACACATGTCAACCTACTGCACGTGCGTATTAGAGCATTTATTGGAGCGGCAGAACTTCCGTACTGTATAGGATTGAACCAAATTACACGACATACGGCATTCCTTCATTGTGCAGAGCTAGAAATTAAATCAAACACCAGCATGCTCAGATTATGAACACACATAAGAAAACACAAACAGGACCCCCAGAGTAGACGCCAGATGAAGCCAGAGCAACCCAGCCAGGTGAAGTCATGTCCTACACCCGCTGGGTTGGTGGCTATGCAATTACTTATGATCCCATGAATAGATAGCAGGATCCACTTAAGCCGTCGGGCCCCCGGCACCGGCTCCATTCCCGGTGTCCTGGCTACCGCGGCGATGGAAGGGATGCGATCCGAAATGGAAGACTTTCTTCACAGCATTGGTAATGCTATTCTTTCTCCTGCCCTGCGGCGCCTCCTCGGAGCGATCTGTGATTTTCTTGGGCACAGAGGCATCATCAGCAAGGACGATCGATGTCACGGCTGGCTTTGGCGGCCACTGCCCGTCTGCTTTCCAGCCCTGAACCATGGCTTTGGTTAAATGGGCGAGGTTGACGGGGACGGTGGGGGTCATGCCTTGCACAACGACCTTGGTGTAGATTGAAGGGTAGATTGCGGGATTGATGCTTGCGCGTACTGGGTTATCGTTTGAAATGAAAGGCGGGGCAACGGGGCAAAGTGGTTCATCAAGCTCTTCTTCCACTTTCTCCTCTTCTGTTTGGTCTTCCACAGCCGGGAAGGATGTAAGTTGTGCAGGCACGTTTGCGGCAACTTTCTGATCCGGCTCTGTGATGTTGGTCTCTGACGAGGCCTTCCGTTTAGCTCCCTCATCTGGCGCGGTCGACAATCCTTCCTCCTGATCCTCTTGCTGTCCCGAAGTCATATCCACTCGATTCTGGAGCTCCTCGCTTTTTTCCCGATCCGCGATGGAAAGTGACGTCTCGGTCCGGACTGCCAAATCAGACGCGCCAATACCCTCGCTGCCCCGGCCAGATGGCACTGCAGATTGGGATGAACCAGACGAAGTCGCATCATTTTCTCCCAGGTTGACGCCATCAGACTGATCTGTTGTCTCCGTCTGCGCAGCAGCCAACGCGCGCTTTGCCTCCTCAGCCCGAATCTGCCGCCGGGTCTTCGCGCCACACCATGCATCGCGTCTGGCCATCCATACGCGCAGCCCTTCGTTCCATGCCATTTCATCATCTATTTGTCGACGGCGTTTGCGACGCCGCTCGATGCCCGCATCTCCAGGGGCGAGAGCTGACGGTTCATATTCTTGTTCGCTATCTGAGCTCTGTGGCTCGAGTTCCGAGGTCGGGGTGTCGAATTCTCGGACTCGCCATTCGCACACTTCACGGTTGTGGCAAAGGGTGCCGTCGGCGGACGACGGGGAAGGAACGCCGGCCTCGAAATCCCAGTCGTTTCGTACGACTTCCTTGACGAAGACTTTGGCCTCACGAACTGAGGTGTCCCGAGACCCCGTAGCCAACATTTTCGCGATCTCTGGATGTGGGGTGTTGCTCGGGTGTGAAAGTGGGGAGCTCTGTAGCAAGGTTTTCTTGCTTGGCCAAAGATGTTCTTGCCCGTGCACTCCCTGTTCTCCACTAATGAAAGATTCAAAAATCGGGAAATGCGAAGAAGCAAAGCCAGCAAATCAGCAAAAAAGCAGCCTTGGAGGGTCTTTGCGGAGTCGAAGTGGCGGGATGATCAGACTCGAGTGTCATAAGGCACGTGCCCCAATGCGGAGATACAAGCTTCCATTTTGCCCTCTCGATTTTATAGCTCTCGTTCCTCTACAATATACGTCAATATACGTATCTATTCACTTCGATTTCGACGCCAAGGTATTTGTTGCATTCTCTAAACTCTGATCCTACATACAATGAGCAACACAAAGTGATTGAAGACCATTGAAAAAAGGGGACCTATTCGGCCCAACATATGGAGTGACGCAACGCCAAGTGATGCTATAAAGCCAGGGCCGCTATTAATCCTTGTCAATAGCTCGCACTATGCTAAACTTGGAAGCTGGTTAGATGAAAACACGGAGTTGGCGTCGCAATCTCAAACGCATGTGCCCTTGCCAAGGCATATCAAGAAATCTAAATGAGTACGATTTCAAAGCAGTTCAAATTCAACATTATCCTAATATGCCTACTTTGTTACCATGTCCCAAAGAACAAGACAATCTTCATGCAGGTACTTTAGCAACGCCGATCATTTCCCCAGACCCATCTATGCCTGGCCCCCACTGACTTCCTTCAAGACAACCGCCCATTCGAGCTCTTCCAAGCTGTCCGCATAAAACGAGACATTGAGATCGAAAGCTCTTTTGAATTGCTGCATACTGCTAGCATAGAGCATGCACAGCTGCAACCAATACAGTTAGCACTTTATTGCCAGCCAATGGACCCGAGTTAAAAGACCAATTACCTTGATAGGCGCGTGGCAAGGACCCCAGTGGACGAAGACGGTCTTGGTACTACACAGTCAGTGACGGGGATTAGCGACAAAATATTTTAATGCACTCAATAAGTAGTAATCTCTTTACCGCTTCCCTTCGCTCCCAAGATCATACTCCATGTCGTAGATGGCGTACCGTGGAGCTGGGTTTCCGTCTTTGTCGACTGCAGCCAATAGCTTCTGGCGGAAGACCTCGTAGTCTTTTGCCGTGGATGTCTCTTCGACTACAATGCTCTTGTTATCGTCGGAGATCTTGTAGATGATGAACTTGGGTCTGGTGGCTGCTGGGCCTGTTCGGAGCTGATTGAATGCAGATATGCATTCGTTTGCGATTGAAATACTGATATAGATCGATTAGTTGGCATGGCATTCATGAATGCTTTTGTTGGGACCGTAGAAATACCCCGATGAATTCTGTAGAAATCGAGATGTTAGTACTTCTGTCCACTGCTTGTGGCGGATCTACGTACCGACATATTAGAGCTGATAACTAGTATCCTGTAATAAAAGAATATAAGCTAGGATAGATAGACCGAGTGGGTATCTTGTGGTAGATGGAAAGTTGTGGGAAGAAGGGAGAAACTCGCTACTTTTCTCGCCTTATATCACTAATCCTACATCAATTCCATATGATTTACATGCCCCTTGACTAGGCTGATATATTCTATCTTAAGGAAGGTAGAAAGGAAAAAGTCTTTAGTGTGAATAGGTAGGAACCCGGTGCATGCATGTGCAACACGAAATTTGTCTATTACCATTGCCTCACAAGGCAAACTCCAACTGGAAAGGCTATGATATATTTCAAGTGGTCCACCCCAGGTGTTTTCGTATATAACAAGCACCCAAGTATGTTGAGCTTACAGCTAGAAATCTATGAGTAGGGCATATATAGCTAGTTAGACACTACCAAGCCGATATAGACGTCTGACTCAAGGCTAGACCTGAAACCCTTAATATCTTTGTGTACCTGTAGGCACTCATCTTGTATAATCCTAGACTATATGAATGTATAAATAATGAAAAGAAAAATCCGCAAACCAAGCACGGTTGGGATATAGTTCACTCCAGTATACTGGCAACGGAAGCAAATCATTTTCAGCAATTCAGCTTGGCTTTTGATCATTGTATCTAAGACGTTCGTTCCCGTTTACATACATACCACTCTAAAACAATATTCTTTGCTCTATGGTATCCTCGATTTCCCAAGTGTCAACGAATGGTTCACAGCCCAAAAAGGGAGCAGGGTGAGCTAGATGATAGGATAGTGGCCCACGTCAAAAGAACAATCAAAGTATCTGAATAGGAAATAATGCAAATTCTTATTGCCCAAGAAATGGATGGCAGTATATACATTTTGAGTAATGGTACAGGTCTATCGTATCGCTAAAAGTACATAGGGAACCCCCATTCCTCCCAATCCACGTAAAATAACCCAAAACAAGCCGGCGAAAAACCTCGAATGAAACAAAAATCATGTCCGAACACGTGCTGAATCAGCCGAAGCATTACCACTAGCACCAGGAATGAATCCCCACCCAGGGCTCTTCTGACGGCGACCCTTCCGGTCACCATACTGCTCGTCGAACTTCCGGATCGCCGACAGCGAAGACATATCCTCACTGATCGAAGCGCTGATTTCTTCCATTCCGCGCTCGAAATGTGTCCGAGTCAGAATGCGGCGCTCCGGGTAGGCGTATGGCTCGTCACCCGTGTGCTTGGCCGCTGCGTCGTTCTCTTCGCGAACACAAGCCAGCGCAGCCGCCACCGACAGATTCTTTAAATCGGAACCAGAATACAGCGGCGTGCGTCGGGCGAGTTCAGCAAGGTCGACGGAAGGCTCGAGCTGTTCCTCTTTCAGGTGAATTTTCAAGACTGCTTCGCGGTCTTCCTCGGTTGGTAGATCGACTAATAGACGGCGGGGAAGACGGCGGAGGACAGCATCGTCCAGATCGAAGGGTCGGTTTGTGGCCACCATGATGAATGCTGAAAGGTCATTCATGCCGTCCCACTCGCGCAGGAACTGGTTGATCAGTTCGCGGTGGGAGGTACGACTGCTGGCTCCAGTGCGAGAGCAGAAGATGGCATCCGCTTCATCGATGAAGACGACGCAGGGAGTAAGTTTCTTGGCAAGCGTGAAAATCGCTTTCACGTTCTTCTCACCCTCGCCGACGTACATGTCGTACACTTCTGACCCGCTGACTTCGAGGACCGTTGCTCCGCTCTCGCGGGCTACGGCTTTGGCGAGGAGCGTTTTACCGGTGCCTGGAGGTCCGTATAAGAGAAGGCCGGGGATCTTGTCGGTGGCGAGGACACCATATGTGAATGCCTCGGGGCGGATGAGTGAGAGGGAAGTTAGGGTCTTTAGGGCGTCGATGGTCTCGGGAGGCACATGCACATCGTTGAATGTGGTTCGGATGCTTTTCGCGTCAACTACACCGTTGAGTAGCTTTTTCTCGTGCGTGTTGCACGTTTTGCGCAACGAGCTGATTAGCTGCTCTCTGGTCTGTCCCGCGTCTGAATCTTTTTGCTTGGGTGACTTCTCTTTCAGCCATTCATTGGTGACTCGGTCGCTCTTATCCATGAGCTCGATTCCTCGTCGGATGTGCTCAAACCCTAGAGGCTCGTTGGCTTCAGCGCAGCCAAGTACAAGGGTAGAAATCCAATGCACTTGATTGTACGACCAGTACCGATCCTCGATTCCTGATTCTTTGATCGTTGAAGGTTCCAGCGGCCAAGAGCGCTCGCTCAAGATGTTATCTTTTACAGGCAGAGCCTGTTCATGTAATCGGAAACGAAGCATGCTCTGCAGGTGGCGAATATTGATATCCATGGTGCGCTTCTTTCGGTCCTCTGCGAAGACCTTTTCGGCTCCTTTCGAGCTCATCGCAGGGGTAATGAGCAAGGTCTTCGAGAACTGATCATCAGGGACATTCTGCAGCAGGCCAGCACCATCTTGTGAGGGCGAGTGGTGGATTTCCTGCGAGGTAGTTCCGATCAACAGAATTTTGGACCCTGCCGCTCTCCGATCTTGGATGACTTTGTGCAAGAGTGAAATGAATTTGGAGCCCTCTCGGGTGTTTTGGATGTCACGGTAGTCCTGGATATGCATAATGATATCTCGAGGTGGCAAAGCCTTGCTGGCTCTCGTTTCGGCTCTTTCTGTTGTTTCAACGGGGACTGACAGTGCTGGTTGACCTGATGAGTCGAGGAGCTCGTTGACTAGTTGAACCCACCGAGTTTCAGCGCGCTGACCACTTCGTGAGGCACCGGTCCCGGGATCCGGATCCGCTTGGCCATTGATCGATTCCCCAAGGAGGGTTTTCAGCCCAAGCCAGCTGGGAAGCGGGATGTCACCGGCCTCTTTACTGCTCTCGATGGTGATAAATCGAGGTGCGCTAATATCGCCGCGCATACCACGGGGACCACCTGCAATTTCTGTCACGTCATCCTCGCCATCTCCTTCAGGTTCTTCAATTTCCGACCATGAAGTTGTGACGGATTGCCGATAGACATCATAGCCGAGAGATCGAATGGGCGAAGTTACCCCCACATCTGCGAGGTCTTGCTCGCTGAACAATTGTGCAATATCCTGGGCATTAAGGGTCACCAAGTCAGTGCCCAGCTCATGGGCAAGCTTCTTCACCACCGCGTCTAGGAATGGTATGCCATCACTACCCGGGTAGTGCAGGGCCAGGTGCGACTTCTTTACCGAAGGCTCTTTGGCGTATTTCACAGATGGTAACCGCAAGCCTGCTTTGACGGAGGCCCGCAGCTCTTCCCATGTTTCCTCAGCCACGGCATACCGATTCTCTGCCGCCGCCGGTAGTTCACTGGATGCAGACGGGTCGGAGTCTCCCCCGGAAGCCTTATTCTCTGTTTGCACCTCCTCCGGCTCCTGTTGTGACCCTGACTTGGTTATTCTAACCTGTTGGAGCGATTGTGTAGGGCGGTCTTGGCTACTGTGAGACACCGTATTGTGCTCGTAGAACCATGCGGGGACGGTTGCCTTTGAGGGGAGAGTCTGCTGTG